TCAAATGAAGGAGTTCTTCAATAATGGATTTGCCATTGTATTTAATAATCTGCTACACTCCACTTGACATTTTTTTTAGTAACTATAAAAAATATTTTGAGCTATTATTCTTTAGTTTCCATTACTTTCATGGTATACTTTGAAGGGGAAAGAGATATACTTTCTTGAAGATTAAATATTTTCAAGAATTTTAAACACCTATGGAAACACAAAGGAAAACTGGAGAAGGAAAATCAGATTTTCTTTTTCATTTTCCTGTCTTTTTACTGCATACACTTTACCTTGATATAAAACAGTAACAATGAACATAATTATACCGTGTGCAAATTATTTGAGTGTGAGAAATAAGGTGATCACAGTGGGGAAAACCCCAAGTATTACTTAAATTAAAATCCTGGCTATTGCCACTTACCATCTGTGTAACCTTAAATAATTCACTTTACCTCTCTCTTCCTCAATTTTCTTATCTGTAAAATGGGAATTCTGGCCTAGATAGTCTCTAAAGTTCCATCTTGTTTGAAATCTAATATCTATGAAAAGAACATACAATTTAATCTTGGCCTATTCCCCCATGCCTTTTTGAATATTGGCTAAGGGGTTTACCTAAGTCAGGACTGAGAGGAATCATAGTGTTTCTATTCTGGTTCACTTATTCACCTGTGATTGATAAGTCCCTTTGATAAGACTTCAGAGTTTTAGATTTAGATTTAAGATAAGGACTTTAGATTTAGGTAGGTCTCTACCTTGGTTCCTAAGTAGAAAACCCATGAAAAAGAGAAAAGAATTTGATTCATCATTAGCCTTATTCTTTTTAATGATTTGATATCAGGATGGAAGAAGTTTATTCTAATAGAATAACCAAGGATCTGTCTTTTACCTATTCATTATTTTCTTGGATCATCATAGGATTTAGAGGTAGGATTTTTATGGATGAGGAAAATGGGACCCAGTGATTATATAGATAGTACCAGGGTCTTGCTTCAAGCCTTTATCTTTTAACTAAAAATTAGTGACTTTCCAACTATACCATATGGTATAGATGACATACTTACCAAACTGTGGTGGGGGTGGATAGAAAACTGAGAAGGAAAGACAACTAATAGGCTAGGTGACAGAGTGAATATCCAAGGAGAAGCTTGACAGGTCAGCTCAATCAAATGCAATGCAATTTCTTTAATTCACTTCTTGGATGAAAATAACTCATAAAACAAAAATTAAATTGAATAAAGAACAATGCAAAATCATAGACCTATTTTCAAAAATCTCAGTAGCTCAACATATAGAAAACAAATAGCAGAGCAGTTCATATGATAAAAACAAACAAAAGAACAAACAAGGCCTAAATGAGAGTTTAGTTGTCTGCATGTTTGAATCACAACCTTTAAAAAAAAGTGTATAATATTAGGTTGAATTGAATAGTATAGAGGGTAAGTGACACAACAGTTTGCCTGAATTCTGCCTTGGTCAGACCACATCTAGAGTATTATCTTCAGTTATAGATAACACACTTAAGGAAAGACACTGCCAGTCTGTAGTAAATCTAGAGGAAAGTGAAGAAGATGGAGAAGGAATTCAAAATGTTGCTACTTGAAGCCTAGCTGAAAGAACTGGGGAAGCTGACCTTAGAAAGAAAAAGACCTAAAAGGGTGACACAAAAGCCATCTTCAAATAATTCAAGGAATGCAATGGAAGGAAAGGATCAGACTTGTAATGCTTGGTCCCAGTAGGCAGAATTAGTATCAATGGATTGAAGTTTCAGAGAGATTTGGACATGACATAAGAATACTTTTCAATAAGTAGAACTGAGACTACTTTGTATTGCTTTGTTAGTGACTTCCCTATTACCACATATTTTCAAAAAGAGGAGATGGTCACTCTTTGAAGCTGTTGAAGACATAGTGTAGATAAGTGCTATTATGGATAGAATGCTGCACAAGGAGCCAGGGAAGACCTGAGTTGAAATCTAGCCTCAAACACTTGCTAGCCATGTGACCATGGGCAAATCATTCAACCTCCATCTGCTTCAGTTTCCCCAATTCTGAAACAGGGATAATAATAGCATTACTTCCTGGGCTTATTGTGGAGACCAAATGAGATAATATTTGCTAAGCCCTTTGGAAACTTTAAAGCCCTGTATAAACATTAGCCTTGTTATTTAAATACAGATCAAGCATTGTGATTTCAGAGGCTCCTTACAATTCTAAGATTCTATGATTGTCTGAGTTCTAATTTCAGTTTTTATTTCCACTCATTAGGCAATAATAATAATACAGCTGCACTGAAATCCTAGTCAGAATGGTAATGAGGGCAAGACCATATCAGCACTATTCCAGGGTGCTGAAATCCAGATCGGGGCACTTGATTTCTTTTCCTACTATGACATGGGTAAGCTCAGAAAGCTTGCTTTTGAGTCAGAACACTTTCCTTGCTTTAAATTCTAGCCCTGCCAAGAGCAAGGACCTTGGGGAAATAATTTAGGCTCTCTGGTCCTCAGTTTCTTCATATGTAAAATAAGAGCATTGTAATAGCTGGCCCTGGTGGGGTACTTGGGTGTTTGTGTTCGGGTGCTTGTGCTTTACGTGGACCCCAGGTTCTCCCTAGTCTCAGAAACATTGTCTCTGGAAGTTTCTCCCCAGCCCAAGGACACTGTGCCTAGCAATTACTCATGATTGGGCCCCAGCAAGACCTTATCTCTTTCCCTGGTGCAGTTACAAACAGCACCTAATGGAATTATTAATTTGAACTGGCTTTTCACTGTGTCATAAGGATATTCTTACTCACTAGACTATCTATACTACCACCTACCTCATTATCTACATCCTGCACTCCTGATTATCTGTATTCTAGACCTAAGACATATGTATACTCTCCACATCTATCTTGTCAAACAAGACATTGACTGGTGGCAGAGTGGATGACTCTCAGCTACCCCTGAACTCTAATTAACTTAGTGAAGTAGCAGGCCTAAAACCACACCTCCATGTGTCCCGTTTCTGGGCTTTTCCTAGTGAACTCTGGATGAAATGCCTGGGCAGTAGACACAAGACATGCATATTCCTTTAAGAACTGACCACTCCTTAAGCACTCCCTAATCCTGCCCTGAATCACTTAGTCAGCATATTTTACACATGTTTTATTATATTTTATCCTATACAAACTTTAAGTGTACCCCTTTAAGGTCACAAGTTGCTTAAGAATCCTTGCCCGCTGAAAAGTGTAACAATAAATTTTTTGCCAACTTGACTTAAAGAATGCTTGAGTCTGTGAATTCATTCCAGACAACCCTGTTGTACTCCAGTCTTTGAGGGGTCTCAACCTCTCAGACTGCAACAGCTCCAGATCTTTAATCCATGAATTAGTCAATAAACATTTATTAAATGCCTGTTCTGTGCCAGGTGCTGTGCTAAGTGCTGATGATACAAAGAAAGGTAAAAGGCAGTCTCTTTTCTCAAAGATTTCACAGTCTAATTGGGAAAGTAAAATAAATAAACAAACAAGCAGATAAATAAATAAATGTAAAAATAAGATATATACAGGATAAATATATAATTAAAATACAAATCACTAGAATTAAGAAGGATTAGGAAAAATTTCTTCAAATTTATGACTTTATTATGATCTATGATTCAATGAAAGTAAGAATAATCAATTAATATGGGGAGCTGATGTGTTTCTTTTAACCCTTCATGTTTATGACCATATATATGTCAGCTGAACACCTTCCCAGCTGCTTCATCCTTCTCTTTTCCATATCAGAACACCTTTCTAAGCAGTGGCCTAGAAGTGTTGTGGTGACTCTGCCACCCTCAGGTCAGTATCCTGAGATGTATACCGCTTCCCAAATGAATTTTCCTTAACTTCCAACATTGCCAGATACAGCTCAGATCCTAGAAATTGTTTTCTGGGATAAACTTGAGTGTCTAAGGGAATGGAGAGATAGGAATGATACTGAGATAGCCCTCCCCCACCAAAATCCTCCCTCTTACACATACATACATCTTTGTAGAGGAAAGCACATTCCTGATGTTATTATATATTCCTAAAATATCAAATATATAGGGTCCAAAATAACAATGAAAAAGAGTTCATACTTTTACAAAATAATTGATACCTTTGCTAGAAACTGATGTGGGATAGAGGGAACTAGTACAGGTTTCACTGTGCAGTTCACAAGTGGAGATTAAGTTATATGATCCAAATCACAAAGATTTTTTTTCCCTAATGTTTAGAGGCTGTAATCAAATCCAGGTCTCCTGACTATAATTTTCCTTCCACTAAATCAGAATCTGTGGTTCTATTTGAAGTATCACTTTTTTGGTATAACTGGACTCTGCTGATTTTGTAGTAAAAGTAAACACTGCTCTGAGAAAGGTAAATTACATAATTGTTTAATAACATTCTTTTGAGATGGCAAAACGAAATCTATTTTTTTTCTCCTACAGATTCACTATTTTAAAATATATGATGCATCAGCATTTTAAATACCATTCTATCACTGGGATAGGGCACATGAGTGCAATCATAGAATATTCTCTTCAGGAATTTAACAAAAAATACTTAAAATTTTGGAATGCAATGCTTTTTGTGATGAATTCAAATTTGCTAGCTCCAAATAAATTTAATTTCATATGTTATTAGATGTGTTAGATGGCTATTGGTGTCTAATGAGTAAGTTAAGAAGGGGGAAAATGTAGTAAATAGGCATCATTTATACAAAAACAGTAAGTTTCTCTTGCAAAGTGTTAAATCTGGGGATTAATCCTGTAATCACTGAATTATGAGTTCAAAAAGGTATTTATTTATTTATATAGGGAAGAACAAAGAAAAACAAGAAATATTCTGAGACACCTTTTGTCATGATGTGATACCATGGGCAATGACCCATTGTGTCTAATGTTTTTTTCTGAGTTATGTAGCATCCTGTGTTAGGAAAACCATCTCCTAATAAATTGTCCGCCACCCCTTCCTCTTCTCACAATCATTTTCTGCCCATAACTTACTTTTCCCACATATTGAGGATCTGGTCCCATGTGTTCTTCTAAAACGAAGAATTGGTTCCACACCCATCCACGTTTGGGGCGATGGTGGACTTCTGTTTCACCCTCTATGTGTTTGGTTTGATTTCTGGTCACCTTAATGGAGCTGTGATGAGCAGCCCCATAGCACCTCTGCACAAAACAGAGACAAACTAGGACTGGGCAGATGCAAGATGTACTCGTAATTCTCATTGTAAGATAACTTTCCAGTTCAATGATTTTCTTTCTTTCCCTTATCAATTGTAATCCCTTATTGGGCACTGAAGGAAGAAGGTGAAGCTTTGTTTGGAAAAACAGTCCAAAGTGAGTTTTTTAGCTTGTCCATGGTTTAACTGCCCACTGGGGAAAGGTCAAACCATATTTACATCCTGAAATGGTATTAAAAAAATGAAGTTGTAGGTTTCCGATTCTAAGTCTTCACAGTGGGTATCCACATCCAACCATCTTCTACCTAATGGAGGGAAAGAAAGAAAATTACTTACATCATTAAAGAGGATCTTATAAGCTATTGACCTGAATATAGGTTGTGCTCCCTCCTTATCCAAATATTACTTCAATCTTTTGGGAAGGTTAATCACTTTTGTGCATGTATGTGTATGAGTCAACAGTTAACTCAGTTATTTATGACTTGCAAGTGTAACTGAAATAATGATAATATCACTATGTGGAGTATCTGAATATCTAGAAGATGATGTTGATCAGTATAACTGTATATAGTTGTTGCATAAGACTATTGCTTTCTATATCTATCTATCTATCTATCTATCTATCTATCTATCTATCTATCTATCTAATCATCATCAACACCATTTCATTGTTTGAGCCCAGATGGCTCATAGTGAATATAAATAGCAATTGTTTCTGTTTTGGCGAGAAACCCTGAGGGTCTTCCCTACCCTGATTTGTTTTTTTTGGTTGGTTGTGTTGTTTTTGACTAGGCAAAAGAGGCTATTGAAAGACCTTCACTTAAAAAAGACCAAGGTTTCCCACAGCATCTAGAGCCATCTCCACTTGTCTTGAGCTATATCTTGCCACTGGACCCAAATGGCTTTAGAGGAGAAAATGAGGCTGGTTACTTTGTACAGCCCTCCCTCACTTAAATCCTGTTCACTTGCAAGTTGGGACATCACCTTCCTGATATCTTGGTCCTCTTAGTGAATGAAGGCAAAACAATACATATCACCCTCAATATCATTTACCAAGTATTCAAACATTCTTTATGGTATATATTAACAACATTTAGTTATTTTTATCAATCCACAGATAATTAAGAGTTAACTATCTGTATATACACAGACATGTACATATATGTAAACAAAAGTTGAAGGTTATCTTTTGTGATCTTGGAGCCATTTTGTTTTTCATTGCAAATTTAACTTTGGTTTGTGATACACATTCATATATTCTTCTATAGTTTCAACAAACATATTTATACATATATAGCACTACTTACATAAAACTCTACCCCCTGCCAATCTACCATGCATTATTAATTTCTTCCCATTCCCAAATCTATGGGATTGAACATCAAAAAATCTCTCATAACAACTGAAGCTTGTGGAGTCAAATGGAATAGCAAAGAAGAGAGAAAGTCAGAGGCTATATGTACACAAATAAAGCTACAATTAGACATATGGCTTGATATAGAAGACTTATCTCCCAAACTGTTTTTAACACACACACACACACACACACAGACACACACACACACACACACACACATACACACAAAGGCAGTTGTTTTTGTTTTTTGTTTCTTGTTTGGTTAGGTTTTTTTTAAACTATATTATTCATGTTATTATTTCATTTCTCTGTTATAATCGATCTAACTCATAAACTATTGCCTGAATAAGATCTTTAAAATTCCTTAGTTTTTAAATCCTCTCTGATACTGTACACATATTTCATATGCATAGAGATTAATTCCTGGTGATGTCAACTGAATGGAATAATTCATAATCAAAATTCTCATCATGTTTTTTATATAGACCCACCAACTACTAGAATTGTCAATTAAATGCTATTCTTTTTTGGGGTATGGGCTAGTAAATTGCTATTTATTTTTCTTTAGCGATATTTTATCACTTATAAAGAGCACTTGGGGCAAAACTTACTACAACTATGTGGTAGTTGCTCCCTACTCAGTGGCCTAGGCAATTGGAGACATGACCCCATTCTTCAATATCAGGCTAATCATTTCAATATTCAGTAGTGAGCTGCTGAATGGGGGCACAAATGCCACCTATTCCTTAAGAGCAATTTAAAATCTTAGGTTGAGTAGAAGCGAATTTGGGAGCTGGAGTAATCCATTCATCTTGAAACTCCTCTTTCTCCTCTTTTGTTACTGACTTTTTAGTGCCTATTTGTTTCTCCTTTTCCATATTCTTTGGATCCTTCTAAAAACAAAAATCAAACATAACCTCTCATGGATGCACAAATGAGACAACATCTTGCAAACACAGGAATTTTGGGGTTGGTATCTACCATGTTTGACCCACTTAGTGAGCACTCTTATTGTCATATGCAATGGCAACATCCACATATCGAAGTGGAGAGTCTATGTTACACACAGAGATCATTGGGAGATTAACATGAGAGGCTTCCATCAAAAGTTAGTGAATAGCCTAAGATCAGTCATCACCAAAAGATGAAGGTCCCCCAAACCTGCCTGGATATGGCTTCATAAAGGTACCAGGCATATGGAATTTCTAGGTATAAGTGTGGCACTGGCAGCAGTATATTTTGATATTGCATGCTGGCCAATATTCCTCATTGAGCTCACATTTAGGTAGATTTTTAATAGCAACAATGGCACGTGCTCCTAGCAAAAGTTTTTCTCAAGTTCTCTTCAGGTTTTTGATGTAGATGCCATTCCTTTTTTTTTTTTGTAAATAATTCCAATTGGAAGTTTAGGTTGGTGCCACTGAATTCAATTCCTGCTGTAAGTAATTTGAGGATATTCATCTTCTTCATGGGCAAACAATGTAGGGCTCTGGAAATTATAAAAATTTCCCTTTAAAGTTGTGATGGGGGGCAGCTAGGTGACACAGTGGATAGAGCTCCAGCTGTAGAGTCAGGAGGACCTGAGTTCAAATCCATCCTTAGACACATAACACTTACTAGCTGTGTGACTCTGGGCAAGTAACTTAACCCCAATTGTCTCACACACACACAAAAAAGCTGTGATGAACATTTAGTACAACATGTATGCTGTCCTTTTCTAAACAGCATGAATAACAAAAACAAAATGGCTATTCTTATGTGCCTGGGCCAATGATCTTTTTTTTTAATATAAATTTGTTTATTTTTAGTTTTCAACATTCACTTTCACAAGTTTTTGAGTTCCAAATTTTTACCCCATCTCCCCTCCCACCCCAAGATGGCATGCATTCTGAATATCCCTTCCCTAGTCTGTCCTCTCTTCTATCTCTCTCCCCTTCTCTTATCCCCTTCCCCTTCTATTTTCCGGTAGGGCAGGACAGACTTCTGTACCCCATTTCCTGTATTTCTTATTTCCCAGTTGCATGTGGAAACATTTTATTTAAACATATGTTTTTAAAACTTTAGGTTTCAAATTTTCTGTCTCCCTCCCTCCCCACCCACCCTCATTGAAAAGGCAAGCAACCCAATATAGGTTGTACATGTGCAGTTATGCAAAACATGTCCATAGTAGACATGTTGTGAAAAACTAACTCTATTTCCCTTAATCCTATCCTGCCCTCCCATTTATTCTATTCTTTCTTTTGACCCTGTCCCTCCTCAGAAGTATCTTCTGATTACCCCTTTCCCAATTCTGCCCTCCTCTCTATCATCCCCCTTCTCTTGTCCCCTTCTCCCCCTATTTTCCTGTAGGGTAAGACAGATTTCCATACCCAATTGAATGTGTATGTTATTCCCTCCTTAAGCCAAATCCTATGAGAATAAGATTCACTCATTCCCTCTCACCTTCCACCGTTTCCCCTCCACTGTAAGAGACTTTTCTTTTCTGTTTTTTTTGTGAGATAATTTACCCCATTCTACCTCTCCCTTTCTTCTTCTCTGAGTATAATCCTCCTCATCCCTTAATTTTATTCTCCAGATATGACCCCTTAATCTTCAACTCACCCTGTCCCTCTATCTATCTATCTACATATACATACATATAATTTTTTTCCTCCAACTACCCTAATACTGACAAAGGTCTCATGAGTTAAAATATCATCTTTCCATGCAGGAATGTAAACAGTTCAATCTTAATAAGTCTCTTATGATTTCTCTTTCCTGTTTACCTCTTCATGTTCCACTTGAGTCCTGTATTTGAAAGTCAAATTTTCTATTCAGCTCTGGTCTTTTCATAAGAATGCTTGAAAGTCCTCTATTTCACTGAATGACCATTTTTTCCCCTGAAGGATTATACTCAGTTTTGCTGGGTAGGTGATTCTTGGTTGTAATCCTATCTCCTTTGCCCTCCGGAATATTATATTCCATGCCCTGTGGTCCTTTAATGTAGAAGCTGCTAAATCTTGTGTTATCCTGATTGTGTTTCCACAGTACTTGAATTGTTTCCTTCTGGCAGCTTGTAATATTTTCTCCTTGACCTGGGAACTCTGGAATTTGGCTAATATTCCTAGGAGTTTTCCTTTGGGGATCTCTTTCAGGAGGAGATCTGTGGATTCTTTCAATTTCTATTTTGCCCTCTGGTTCTAATATATCAGGGCAGTTTTCCTTGATAATTTCTTGAAAGATGATGTCTAGGCTCTTTTTTTGATCATGGCTTTCAGATAGTCCAATAATTTTTAAATTCTCTCTCCAGGTCAGTTGTTTTTCCAATGAGATATTTCACATTGTTTTCTAATTTTTCATTCTTTTGGATTTGTTCTACTGTGTGTTGATTTCTCATAAAGTCACTATCTTCTAATTGCTCTATTCTAATTTTTAAGGAAGTATTTTCTTCAGTAATCTTTTGGACTTCCTTTTCCATTTGGCCAATTTTTCTTTTTAGGGCATTTTTCTCCTCATTGGCTTTTTGGACCTCTTTTGCCATTTGGGTTAGGCTATTTTTTAAGGTGTTATTTTCTTCAGTATTTTTTTGGGTCTCCTTTAGCAAGCTGTTGACTTGTTTTTCATGATTTTCTTGCATCACTCTCATTTCTCTTCCCAGTTTTTCCTCTACTTCCCTTACTTGCTTCTCAAAATCCCTTTTGAGCTCTTCCAAGGCCTGGGACTGATTCATATTTTTCTTGGAGGCTTTGGATGTAGGAGCTTTGACTTTGTTGTCTTCTTCTGGTTGTATATTTTGATCTTCTTTTTCACCAAAGTAAGATAATATAGTCTGACTCTTTTTGCGCTGCTTGCTCATGATCCAGGCCAATTACTTGAGTTTTAAACTCTTTGTTAAGGTAAGAGTCTGCTTCCAATGTGGAGAGTGTACTGTCCCAAGCTTCAGGGGGTTTGTACAGCTGTTTTCAGAGA